TAGAAACAGAGAAGGCCTTTGACAAAATTCAACAGCCCTTTATGCTAAAAACTCTCAATAAACTATGTATTGATGGAATGTATCTCAAAACATTAATAGCTATTTATGACAAACCAACAGGCAATATCATACTGAATGGGCAAAAATTAGAAGCATTCCCTTTAAAAACTGGCACAAGGATGCCCTCTCTCATCACTCCTATTCAATATAGTATTGGAATTTCTAGCCAGAGCAATTAGGCAAGAAAAAGAAGTAAAGGGCATTCAATTAGGAGAAGAAGTCAAATTGTCCCTATTTGCAGATGACATGATCATATATTTAGAAGACCCCATTGTCTCAGCCCAAAACCTCCTTAAGCTGTTAAGCAACTTTAGCAAAGTCTCAGGATACAAAATCAATGTGCAGAAATCACAAGCATTCCTATACACCAATAACAGACAAACAGAGAGCCAAATCATGAGCACATACAATTTACAATTGTATGTAAACTCCCATTTACAATTGCTACAATGAAAATCAAACGCCTAGGAATACAAGTAACAAAGGAGGTAAAGGATCTCTTCAAGGGGAACTACAAACCACTGATCAAGGAAATAAGAGAGGATACAAACAGATGCAAAAACATTCCATGCTCATGGTTAGGAAGAATCAATATTGTGAAAATGGCCATACTGCCCAAAGTAATTTATAGATTCAATGCTGTCCCCATCAAGCTACCATTGACCTTCTTCACAGAACTGGAAAAAACCACTTTCGACTACATAGGGAACCAAAAGAGAGCCCATGTAGCCAAGACAATCCTAAGCAAAAAGAACAAAGTTGCAGGCATCACACTACCTGACTTCAAACTATAGTACAAGGCTACAGTAATCAACACAGCATGGTACTGGTACCAAAACAGAGATATAGACCAATGGGACAGAACAGAGGCCTTGGAAGCAATGCCACACATCTACAACCATCTGATCTTTGGCAAACTGGACAAAAACAAGCAATGGGGAAAGGATTCCCTGTTTAATAAACGGTGTTGGGAAAACTGGCTAGCCATATGCAGGAAGCTGAAACTGGACGCCTTCCTTACACCTTATACAAAATTAACTCCAGATAGGTTAAAGATTTAAACATAAGAACTAACATCATAAAAACTCTAGAAGAAAACCTAGGCAACACCATTCAGGACATTGGCACAGGCAAGGACTTCATGACTAAAACACCAAAAGCAATGGCAACAAATGCCAAAATAGACAAATGGGACCTAATTAAACTTAAGAGCTTCTGCAGAGCAAAAGAAACAATCATTAGAGTAAACCAGCAACCAACAGAATGAGAAAAACTTTTTGCAATCTACCCATCAGACAAAGGACTAATATTCAGAATCTACAAAGAACTAAAGCAGATTTACAGGAAAAAAAAAACAAAGGAACCCATTCAAAAGTAGGCAAAGGACAGACACTTTTCAAAAGAAGACAAATATACGGCCAACAAACATGAAAAAATGCTCATCACTGGTCATTAGAGAATTGAAAATCAAAGCCACATTCAGATACCATCTCACGCCAGTTAGAATGGTGATCATTAAAAAATCTGGAGACAACAGATGCTGAAGAGGATGTGGAGAAATAGAAACACTTTTACACTGTTGGTGGGAGTGTAAATTAGTTCAATCATTGTGGAAGACAGTGTGGCAATTCCTCAAGGACCTAGAAATAGAAATTCCATTTGACCCAGCAATCCCATTACTGGGTATATACCCAAAGGACTATAAATTGTTCTATCATAAAGACACATGAACATGTATGTTCACTGTGGTGCTTTTTATGATAGCAAAGACCTGGAACCAACCCAAATGCCCATTGGTGATATGCTGGACAAAAAAAAAAATGTGGCACATATACACCATGGAATACTATGCAGCCATAAAAAATGATGAGTTCATGTCATCTGTAGAGACATGGATGAAACTAGAAACCATCATTCTCAGAAAACTGACACAAGAACAGAAATCCAAACACCACATTTTCACTTATAGGTGGTTGATGAACAATGAGAACACTTGGGCACAGGGAAGGGAATGACACTCACAGGGCTAGGTAGGGGTGTGGATGGGAGGGGAGGGGGGCAGAGTGGGGAGAGGTGGGGAAGAGGGGGAGGGATAACACCTGGAGAAATGCCTGATGTAGGCAACGGTGGGGGAGGGATGGAGACAGCAAACCATATGTCATGTATGTACCTATGCAACAATCCTGCAGGATACAGGACATGCACATGTACCCCAGAGCCCAAATACAATTAAAAAATAAAAATAAAAAATAAAATAATGTTTATGATTATGTAACAATACTTTTTAAATGATGTATGTGAATATTATGTAACAACATGAATAATAAATAAATGTTGCCAATAAATGGAAATATAAGCATCTTATTGTTACACTAATACCATAATTTGTTTAAATTGTATATGCAATAAAAGTCAAAGGTCATTTATTTAAAAAAAAAAGTCACTCAAAATGTAGTGACGACTCAACCAGATCATTTTCTGCTGAGATCTTGATTGGTTTACTAAGCCCTGGAAGCAATGGTTGGTATATGTGTCTAAATATATAGAGCAAACTTTTGTGTTTTTTTTTTTTTCTCAAATACAGCACTGTTTTAAAATTGATGGACTTAGGGGACAGGAGCAAATTATCTACATGACAATGTAGAGAATAAATTGGAAGGTTATGTGAAGCCAGAGAAGGATGGGAGGTATTTTATTTCAGAATTTTTGAAAAATAAAAATATTGGTACTTCTTCCAGAAAAAAACGTGCTAATCACATATAAACTAAACTTCATATCAAGTCTTCCAATATTTTTAATTCACCAAGTAAGTCACATTCTTTGATCCCATGTAAAAATGTAACAGAAAATATGAATTTAACAAAAGAGAGGGCTATTGTTTCTTAAGATGACTAACAGGATCATTAATCAACTTAAGTCATATATTAATATCCTTTTAGGGGGTGTGGCTATGTTTCAATAAAACTTTATTTAAAAAATAAGAGGTGGGTTGAATTCGGCGTGTGGATCATAGTTGTTGAACTCTATTCTTTAGCTTTACCAAGGTCAAAATGTAAACAAAAATACTTCTCTATGTCAGGAGATAAGAAAAGGCAAGGAAAATTAGCAAATCCCTGCACAAAGAAACAGTTTAACTGTCTATTGACAATGGCTGTGTTTAGTCAAGTCTGAACTTAAAACCAAATAATTGATTCTTCACTGTCACAGATCTTAGCATATAATGGTGTCCCATGGGCAATTAGAAAATATTTTAAAATGGATAAAAAATATATATGAAAAAGCCTCAGTATTTAAAAATTCAGGCTGAAAAATTAAAAGCAAATATCTTTAAGTTAATATTTAATCTGAGAGACAGTAGAGAGAGATAGGCAGGTACTGATATACTCTAACATTACAGCTGTGGCTGTTATTAATATTTTCGAAAAGAATTTGGCAAAAAAACTTTAACAGTGATTCATTAATATTTTCCTCCAATAATACCACTACCAGCAATCGATTTTAATGAAATACCATAGATTCATTAGAAATTTACACATGCAAATCTTTCATCACACAATAACTAAAAAGAAAACCTTCCCGAAGCAAACTATATGTGCAGTAACTGAGAAGTTATTAAATAATAGTACATGCATAAGTATAGTTTATAATTATTAAAATGTGTTTATATTTATGATATTTTTGTTAACATGGACAAATAAACGTATTACTCTAAATCAAATCATGACATAAAATTATGACTTTTATCATGAACACACATGAAGAGACTAGAAGAAAACCATGAAAAGTAAGTGGTGGTAGAGGTGGAGCTAGAAAGGATCATAAATTGTTTCAATGAGTTTGACGTTTTCAAATATTCTATAATGTTTTTAATCAGGAAAATGTACCATTTTGGAATATGGCCCGTGTCACTTTTTATGACATATACCAGGTGGTACAAAGCACAATGCTATTTTATGTATCAAAACTAATTTTTAAATATTTTTTCATCAGAATTCGTGTTGGATTTTCTAGATACCAGGAAAATTTGGAATAGACCCATCTATAAATTAGCACCAAATCTTTGAACCTTCGGTCTGCTATTTTTTATAGCACCTTAAAATATAACAAAAATACTATTTACTTAAAAAGTAATCAATATGCCTAATACAGAGATAAACCAATTAGATTGAATTCTGGAAGAGAAAGGGGACATTACTGGACATTGACAGGACATTGATAAGGTCTACAAATTAGGTAATGATATTGTATCAATATTAATTTTCTGGTTTTTATCACAGTACAATGCTTATGTATTGGGCATCACAGTAAAAGGCACACAGGAATGTTTTGTACTGTTGTTGCAACATTTTTTGAGTATAAGATTATTTCAAAATTAAAAGCTAAAAACATGTTTAAAAAAAAACAAGAATTAAACAAATTACCAAAGGAAACCAGGAATGCCTGCCCACATCCGTCTTGATTGTCTGGAAAACTCCTACCTATCCTATAAACCTACTTCATTGTGATTTCCAGGGACCTGACTCTGTCCTGTGCCTCATTCCACTTCTGGGCTGCCTCAATGCCTCAGGCATTATTTTATTTTTTGACTTATCACATTTTACTCTTATTGCTATTACTTGTCGAGGCTCCAACTAGACAATGTACCCCTAGAGGGCAGGGCCTGTCTCATTGAATTCTCCATCCCACCATCAATTTCAGTGGCTGGCACACCACAGGACTGAACAAAGTCTCATAATCTAATAAGCATGCGACTGTTTATTACACAAAGGGAAAATCTGGGTCAATAACATCGAGATGAGCTGTTTATCCTGTCACTAAGCTAAGATAAATGCAGCACTAAACCTATAGCCCAGGTGTCCCTAATAGGCATAGTCAATTTCATGAGTTTACTTTTGCTTTCAAATCAGAAATTCTCTGAGCAAAAATTAAATGTGGCTTACCTGTGTGTCTGTCTTTGAGGGCAGTTTTACACATTTCGATCCTGGCTGAATGAAATGGCACGTAACGGTCTTGGGGAGAAGCAACCAGCACGACGTTTTTAAAATACTGCAGCCCTGCAACAATGCGCCAGGTGAGTGCTTCCTACCCAGGCAGTTTCGACTTCAGCACCGTCTGGTTTGCGCAAATTTCCAGACTTGTCCCAGAGAGAGCAGAAAATGACAACACACCACACCCTCCTCATGTCATTGCACAAGGACCTTCCGTCCTGAGGTTTCACAACCCACAGCCAAAGGCACAGAGGTATCACGGGGGCCTACGGGAGTCTGAGAGATGAAGTCACTACACTGGGCCTTTGCATTTTTGAAGGGAGATGAAGCCTGTTCTCATCAGCCATGAAAGCTAAGGAGACACACAGAAAGCTACTCTGGACATAGAGAAATAAGCAACAAGGATGTGACTAAAACAGCCTTTTCTGGGATAGAAATATTAAGGAGCCCAGAAGGAAGTCAGTCTGACTATTCTGTTCTTCCTCCACAACCCCAACACTCCCCAAATTCCAGCCTTCACCACCTCCCATGCTTTAGGGAAACAGCCTCAGAACCCACCTCTGTGCTGCCAATCTTGCCTTCTGCAACCTGTCCCCACAATGCAGAGGGACACTTCCAATTAAACATCACATTGTATCCCTCCAAGGCCTCAGAGCCTAGAGTCAACCTCCAGAGCACTGCAGACCACCCAGACACTCTGTCTGGACAGAAGCCATCCTTCTCATTCCCCAGGTCCTGCTGGGTGGGCAGGTGTCGGCTCTTAGCCCTGTGTCCTCCATTGAAGTGGGCCCCCGCATCACAGCTCACGTACTGGGGGCAGTCTACTTCAACAGCTAGCCAATACACGAGTGTGGAGGACAAAGATGTAATGGCCAGCCCCTTGCCCTCCTTCAGGACAGCTCTCCAGGACCACCCTAGATCCTGCACCCCTGATGAATTCTTCAGTGATCACGCTGCAGTCCCACCTCCTTCTGCCAAGTCCTGCCTCCTTCCTCTTCCCCCACAGAAGATAGCTCTGAGAGCTCAGTTCAATACACAGAGACACAAAGTAGGAAAAGAACTCAGCCATGCTTACAGATCAGCCCGTGGCTACACCAGATTCACAGGCCCAGAAGTATTAGCAGAGTCAGTGTTTACAGGACAGTGGAATATTGTGACCAAGAATGGACCCTGGGCCAGGCCGGCTTGCATGGTGGGACTGAGCAGGGCAACCAGTCAGCTGCTCCACTCCCCGACTGGACTTGGGGACCACACAGTGATGATCATGATTACCGCTGTGCTCTGTGGTCATTCCCATGTAGCAGACAGGGCCTTCAACACCTCTATCCACTTCCAGATTCCAGAGAGCGGGTGCAAGTATAATAGCAGGCCTGCCTGACAATGACCCTCATCTCCCACTGCACAGTCAACATCAGCGGAAAATGTTGCACCTGCCTTTTTTTGTAGATGGGCCTGTACCTGGGTGAAGCTGGCACACAGATCTTGGGCCCATGCAATTAGAACATTGAAAAACTGGTACAAAGTGAAAACCACAGTTTCTGGCTACTAAAATGATCTTACTCACACCTCGGCTCAATCTCTCACATGTCACATGGGCAATAGGCAAGAGGAGATGAGTTTCTGGTAGCTGTTGGCCTCCCACTGAGCTGAAGACGTTCTGAGTGCTGGGCCTCCTTACTGTTCCCTTCTGTGAGTGAATCAAGGGAGCATTATAGCTCATTTGTGTCTCGGGAGTTGAATCCCAAGCTCAAACTCATAACTGCAGCAGTGGGGGAAACCACTGACCTGTTTTTTGGCTTAGTTGGTAGAGGAAACATTTGCGCAAATCAGCATTATCCCTGAAGGTCAGCTGCAGTAGAGACCCGGATTTCTTTAGTTTCTGCATGAGCCATAAGCCTAGGAAGACAAAAACAACACAAAAATCAGCAACATAAAACAAAAGGTAGGATGGAATTTTGGTGAGATAAATATTAAACTGTGAATTGTAGTTAATTTGAAAATTAGAGAGAAGTAGGCGTGCTACCCAACAGTTGGGGAGTTAGAGGTAAATCTCTCATGTACTGGGAACAAGGACTTAAATCATCCTGCAAAAAGGGTAACAGGCTTCAGAGTAAGGAACTACTCATACTCTTCAATCCAGTCAATCTCCTTCTGAAAAAGCAGCCTAGGGTGATGATTTTCAATGTAAAAAGTGTGTAAGAATGATCCTTACAGACGCATTTAGCATACTGTGAAGCTGGAATAAACATCTCACTTCAAAACTCATCTGTTGGCCTGGCCTGGTGGCTCATGCCTATAATCCCAGCACTTTGTGAGGTCAAGGCACTTGGATCACCTGAGGTTAGGAGTTCAAAACCAGCCTGGCCAACATGGTGAAACTTTGTCTCTACTAAAAAAAAAAAAAAATTAGCCAGGCATGGTGGTGGGTGTCTGTAATCCCAGCTACTCGGGAGGCTGAGCCAGAAGAATCGCTCTAACCTGGGAGGCAGAGGTTTCAGTGAGCTAAGACTGTGCCATTACATTCCAGCCTGGGCAACAAGAGCAAGACTCCATCTCAACAAACAAACAAACAAACAAACAAAAAACTCGTCTGTTTAGCTGTGCTTAGGCAAACACTAACATTGACAAGTGTAAGGATTATGTAACCACAGCAAGCAAATTAATCTGATAGAAACAGGAGGAAACAGGCAAGCTACAGTATGTACATATATTACACTGACTGCTATATCAGTATGTGTGTGCAAATGTAAGTAGAATGAAATATATAAAATTTCTCTGGATATGTTAGATTGGAGAAATTATTGGTAAAGTCTCTCTTTTAAAAAATATTTTATAATATTGCAAAATTACTTTGTAACTGTGGGGGGAAAATGTGGTTTAACAAATTTGTTTCTGTCCAAAGAATGGCTTCCTGGGTTTGGGAGGAGAGACAGGGTGAGAGGGAAGGACTTCCATGTGTTATGTGCCAATGTGTCAGATAACTCCTGTTCACAAGTATGCCCTAAAATAACTTAAAAGCAAACAAATTAAACTGACAAGGTCATGACAAAACAGTGTAAGTGTTGGGAGGGAACAGGGGAAGGTGGCAGAGGTGTGGATGACTGCAAAGGCAAGGAAGCTTATCGGGGTGACCCTAATGCCACATGATGGGTTTGCATCATCAGGGACTACTGAGGTATTTGTTAAGACCATGATTTAATAAATGATTTGTTATTACGTATAAAACTCAATGCCCTCCTTTGGCTTCCACACACAGAACCATGTCACCTCCTCAGCCAAAATCTCATGAATAGGATCTCTAAGGTCTACAGGGTAAGTCTAACATCTTCTCAAGTCATTTGAGGCCTTTCTTTGTCTGGCTCTTGCTGACATATTAGACCTTCCACAGATCTTAGCTAACCTCATTTCCTTTCTGTGTAATCTTCAACAATTCTGTAATACACACCTGCACATATGTACCTACACACCATGTATATGTACACATATGTATATCATATACATGCTTGTACACAGATACATATGTAAATGTAGGAAAAGAACTCTGATCCAGTCAATTTCATATTGACATATACATATGCACATACATATACATATATACACAAGCATGTATATGCTATATGTATGTATACATATATATGGTGTGTAGGTGCATATGCGCATATACACTAACACAGATACAGACACACACACAATCTCCATTACACAAATAGGGAGACTGAGGAGCACAGAGATGAAATGTCAAGGCCAAAGTCTTCCTCAAGTGTCCTGGTCAGGACTTAACCACAGGCTTGTCATGCAGGTGGCATGATTCAGAGTCCTTGTTCTCTTCATCACAACACCATGCCTTGTCAATCTTTTCCAACCAGGACTCCAAGGACATTGCCTTTTTGTGACAGAGATTTGAAGGCAGAAAGGATCCTGGGAAACATCTAGTCTCACCTCACCCAGCCCACGACACAAGGGTCACACCTCTAAGGCCAGGTCTCCTGCCTCCATGGCATCCTTGGAAGAGGCTTCACAGTGACAGGGTTCTGTGGGAAAGAACTTCTGTCCCTGTTTTCACATCCCGGAGGTCCTGGATGAATTCTGAGGAATGATGAGTCCTGGAAGATCCTTACCTGTACTAACCAGGGTGCTGTTGTTGTACAGGGTTCCCAGGTGAGGCCCAGAGAGTGACAGGAACGTGTGGAGTTTGTTGAGGTAATACCGGAACCGAGGCCGTGTGAGGACCGATCGGATGATGATGTTGCCAAGAGAATGGCCAATGAAGCTGTGGAGAGACAGAAAAGGGACCCGTGAGTTTGACAGTGAATGCTGCTGCTGCCCAAGAGTGCAGTGCTGGAAGCATCAGGGACCAGCGTCCTCCACCTCCCGCTGAATTTAGGGGAACTGGCAAAGAGAATGGGGACTGCCAACTCATCCTCATCAGGTTTCCAAACCCTGGCTGAGAGAAGCCTGAGATGGGGTCTTTGTGAATGGGAGCTTTATGCCCAGTCAGGGAAGAAGTGTAAGCATTTCAACCAGCTTCATGCTGTTAGAGCAGCCTGCTCTTATTCCACCTGGGGGAAGGGAAGGTCCTTCCTGAAAGGCACCTCTCAGCATTAAAATTTCCTCACCATTTATAGGATCAAGTTTCAAGTCCTTATCCTGCTTGGGAGGTCATTTACAGCCTGACTTTGGATGGCCTCACACGCCATTCATTCTCTCCTTCACCCGCTGTGTATATTGAACCACCTGCTCACAGCCCATGCTGTTAGACTGCCTCCTGCAGGCTCTGCTCCAGCCGTCTGCTACTCACAGGCCCACAATTCTCAAGTTAAATACTTATTTATTGAGAGCCTATCGTATGAGAGGCTATACCTCCCCACTTCTACTCATCATGAGCAGAAAACCAGCCAAGAAAAGAAATGAGGGTCAGCCTATGAAACTGCCTTATGTAGCTTGTGTTCTTTGACTCTTTTTTTTAACCTAACCTCTATAGGCTTCATTTGTGGAATAAAGAAGTAATATTTTTATCTCAAGACAAAATGGCATGTGAACCAGGGATTAGCACTACGTCTACATATTTGAATGCACAAAAAATGCAAGCTGCTTACCAGCACTGTAATCACTGAAATATCTGGTACAGTGTGGGAATAAAATCAGCCCTGACTGAAACCTGCCCTTTGGGGTGGGCAACTCATTCTGCTTTTTTACACATCATCTCAGTGCTAGTTCCACTTAATAGATAAGAAAACAGCAGTTTAGAGATTTCGAAACCGTGCAAAAGGTTAGATATCTTTTACATGGTAGAAACAAGATTCAAATTTCTGAGTGTTAAAACAAGAATTCAAACCTAGAAATTTTTGTTTAAAGTCCAATACTCTTTCTACAGAACTACAAAATTTTTATTCTCCCTGACATAAACGATGACATACGAATGTGTACAACAGATCTGGTACTTACTTCTGCTTTAAAAATAATTTCTTAAAAGTCAAAAGTTAGCTTAGCTCAGCGGTATACAGAAGGCATCACATCACACTTTTATACAGCAAACACTCAAAAATGTCCCCCGTCTTCCCCCAGCATTAACTACCTGTGGTTTCCTTTTACCTAATTCGGGATATGGAGAGGTTGTACAACTGAATGTGTTGAATGATTTCATCCAATAACCGATCCGTCATGGTATCAAAATCTGCAAATGTGTCCATCTGGAAGAAGAGAGAGGAACAGGCCACTGGGTATGGCTGTGGTGAAGGCTGGGTTCTGAGCAGAGCCTGTCTTCTACTAAACACGTGGTGCCTACTGGGGGTGTGCCTACCTCTGACGTTAGGGCTACAGGATGAGATGTGACTTCAGGACAAAAGGCCCACAGACTGGGGGTCTAAGGAGGAAACATGGAGATGCTGAGGACTGCTCAGCTGGCGGGGTGGCTAACACTGAAATAGCAAGCATGTGGTGCCAACTGCCACACCCCTGGGATTGCTGCCCCCACTACACAGAGGAAGAAAGAGGCTCTGGGAGAGGAGGCCACCTGTTCACCTCACATGACCCAGGATTCACACCAAGACAGGCGTGACTTGAAAGGCTCTCCCTTTCTGCAGCACAGCCTTTAGAGGATGCAAGGACAAGACCGGAGGGCAGTCAGCTTTGGGAAAAATCGTAAAGCCACCCACATCTTAGGATGGATGGTTGAAGGATCCAGGAGGAATCCAGGAAGGGGTGGAATGCCACACATGTCCTTGAATATTGAAGGGCAGGAACAAGGAAGATGTATTAGATTGGTTTATATATCTCAAGGACTAACTTTTAGAACAATGAATTGGAGTCACAGAGAAATAGATTTGGGACCAATATCCAAAAATGTTTAAAATGTTCCTCATATGTGGAGCAGTCCTATAAAATCACGGGCTGCCAAGAGCTAGGAAAAGTGAACAGAATGTCTCACAAATAACCAGCAGGTGAAGAAAGGAGTATATATGTTGGGGGATAGGGCCTGTGGGAGTCTCTGTCACCTGCCATCCAATGAGCTTTGAGGTGGGAGAGAATAGAGCATACTGCTAAATCTCTTAGATTTCCTGGAGTAAGCAAGCATCATGCGCTTCTCTGCGTATGGGATGTACCTGTTGTTTCCCATCTAAACCTCGGTCACCTTATTTATGAAAGGGGGATTGTGTTGCCACCTCCTTAACGTCATGTTAAAAATTAGGTAAAATTGTTTAAGAGAGAAGCTTTTTTTTCTCCGACTTTTCAGAGCCTATTCCCTCATCTATAAAATATTAATTCAACCTATGCATTATTTAAACAAATGGCTATAATTATAAGGCCTGAGTTGACCATGATGGGCTATGCTTTGGAAATCACAGTAGGTTGAAAAAGCAATATCAGGAACTCCCCAACCAAGGCATTTAAAAGTGTATTAATATATATTGCAAGTGGATCTGCTGATGAGATGACTTTCAAAAAGTAATAACAATAATCATAGTGGAACATAATCAATACCAAGTGGCCCACGCCTGCAATGAAGTGAACCATGGAAAGGTCCAGCTCTAAAGACCTGAGGTTTCCAGGTTGGACCCAGAAGCCATGAAGTCACATCAGAAAGCTGCTGGATGTGCACACGCGGAAGGAAGGATTATTTCCTGACCAGATCTCCTTGCTAACAATTCTTATCTTCCCTGAAAAGAAAACCTCACTAGCACAAATCACAAACACAAAGTTAGCAAGTGCTGCTCACCCACTTCCCTGCTCCCTCCTCTGAATGCCCTGGCCATCCTCTCTTCTTTTTCTTTTTTTGAGACAGGGTCTTGCTCTTTCACCCAGGTTGGAGTGTAGGGGTGCAATCACAGTTCACTTCAGCCTTGACCTCCTTGGGCTCAGGTCATCCTCTCACCTCAGCCTCCCAAGTAGCTGGGAATATAGGCATGTACCATCAAATCAAGCTAATTTTTGTATTGGTTTTTTGTTTTTTCTTTCTTTTGGTAGAGAAAGGGTCTCACTTTGTTGCCCAGGCTGGTTTTAAATTCCTGGGCTAAAGAGATTTGCCTGCCTCGACTTCCCAAAGTGCTGGGATTATAGGTGCGAGCCACTGTGCCTGCCTATCCTTAGGACTGAGTCAGATTTGTACACATATTAAAGTTAGGTGCACACAGGAATTATCTTCCTGGAGATCACATATGCTATCTTCTTCTCTAGGACAGACTGACATGGACCCTGCCTAACTCTCAGAAGCTCTGTTCCCTCTCCTGTGAGGAGATGGTGGTTATCAACCAGTAATAGAACTGCCATGAAGATGAAATGGGGAAACAGGTACAGAGTACTCAGATGCTCCAGAACGTCATTCTCTTCTCTCTCCCTCACATCCGTACCTCTGTGTACCACATGGTGCACAACTTTGCATAGAGCAGGTGCCCAAGTAAAGGCAGCAGAACTGAGTGCCAACAGTGGGGAAGTGAGCCATTACCCAAGTAATTGATGCTTTTACCTGCCACCCATGCTAATGCCTTGTGAGGGCAAAGGCTCCAGTCAACTAATTCACATGTTCACATTTCTTACCCTTTCCTCACCTTCCCAAAATAAAATGGTAAGTCTTTTCTTTCCAACCCATCCAAGCCCCTGGCCAGCATTGCTTTACAAGGTCTCCTCTTATCTGTGTGTGCCCATAAATTATTGTGGCACATTTAGGAGGCTCATAGAAGCAAGCAGGGTTCTTCCAGTTCTGATATTTTTATCATCATACCTGATTCTTTTCAGACATTAGGAAGTCCAGTTTTCCTCCAGGGAGCCCCAGTTCTATGAAGGTCTTTACCAACCGGAGGTCTGCACTGTTCCCTAAAAATGACAGATTGCCCCCACCCCAGTCCCATAATTAGTCATATAAAAAGTTGATACACAAGAGATTTCTTTCTCTCTCCCTCTTCCCCCATTTCTACTGGGTTTTCTCATTTTTTGGTTAAGCAGATAATAAAAACAAGTAAAACAACTAGAAACCCCAGCTTTCCTGCCAACCCTCAGCCCCACACATGCAGTTTGGTCCCTTCTAGCGGCCTCACCTCGAAGGAGTTATCCCTTATCCATAAGCATGTGCCTTGTGAACACCCTGCATGCAGGAACAGTGGGAGGTACACCACCTCCCCTTCTTCCACAGCAAATTCCATTTTGCAAGTGGTTGCTTCTAATGGCTGATGAGGCACAATGTGACCCCTACCAGCCCTGCCTTCAGTTCTTGCTGAAGAAGACTATCCAGTGCTGCTATTTACAGGTAATCTGCAAACCTCTCCCTATATCCAAGTAGGCACAGTTATCTAAGTAGAATAGGACTCTGTTGGGAACAAGAGTCACGGCAGAGCTAACTCCATGGAGGCAGAGCAGTGGCCATGAGGGAAGGGAATGAAGGGTTAAGGATGTACGGCTGTCAATGCACAAAGCACACGGGAAATGCATTCCCACAATAAAAAATCATACAACAGAATCGAGTCTATATGCAAGTATAGTGAGGCGTAAATTTAATGCTGGTCGCAGGGGTTCAATTACATCTTAATACATTTTGTCCTATTTCTTAAAAGTTCCCTGTAGAGTTGAAAGTCAGAAGCTGGTTATCTGGATATATAAATTACCTACCATGTAAATATACCCCACGGGTCATGGTTCCAAAATAGTTAGCAAACTGTGAGTGAAAGTATCATTCTTTATGAAACTACCCAATGATTCAAAGGAGGGTAAAAGTGCCACATGGAATTGGGGGAACTCTAGGTGTTTGGGGTTCTCCCTAATGCTTAAGGATGACTCAGACATGCCCAAATGCCACCTGTGTCAGTGGCCTGTCAGAGCACATGCCAAAACTTGCAGGCTCACAGTCACAAAATGGTTATTTATTTATATATATATATTTTGTTTTTTTGAGACAGAGTCTCACTCTGTTGCCCAGGCTGGAGTGCAGTGGTGTGATCTCTCAGCTCACTGCAACCTCCAGCTCCCGGGTTCAAGTGATTTTCTTGCCTCATCCTCCTGAGTAGCTGGGACTGCAGGTGCCCGCCACCACATCGAGCTAAGTTTTTGTCTTTTTCGTAGAGACCGGGTTTCACCATGTTTGCCAGCATGGTCTCGATCTCCTGACCTAGTGATCTGCCTGCCTTGGCCTCCCAGAGTGCTGGGATTACATGTGTGAGCCACTGCGCCTGGCTAGTCATTTCTTTTTTTAAGGAAATCTGCATTTTGTGTTGTGAAGTTAATTTTTATTCATTCCCTCTCATTTTTTTCAGTAAACTTAGGCTCTTTGGTCCCACTGTTTCTATTGTTTAAAGCTCCCTAATGATTTTCCAGGGCCTGCCTTAGCAAAAAAAAAAAAAAAAAAAGCTGCAAGGTTTCTATTCAGCATAAAGTGTTCAGTAAGGGGTGGAAACGGCCCTCTCTCCTTCAGCTACTGAGGGAAAGGGAACTTTCTGCAACTAAAATTTCAGAAAATATGATTTAATAAGATGTTATTAATAAACTGAGAACATTTATAAGAATAAAAATCTTGAGTTTTTTGTACAACATGAAGAGCTGTGCAAATACTAATAACTGTTATCAATGTGCTCAACTCTCTGTTAATACAAATAAGCCCTTGGAAATTGAATTTGAACAAGTGGATCCTGAAAATTCTGCAGAGTTTAGACATATGCACCTTGAACTAGAGAAGGGATCTTCCAAAGCACCCTGTGCTTGGTATGCGTTGTGGTTTTCATGACTTATTGCCCAGTTGATAACATAATCCATGGCTCCATTTTCTGATGGTACAAAATGGGTGAAGCTGCTCTGTCCTTATAACATGCCTCATCTTTCCCGTGCATGATGGAAAACAATTGCCTATAGCATGATCAGATTTCTTATTTTAACAGAGATATTGAGAGTCTTGTCTCATTTTACTTTAGTGTCATATATGTGAGAGAAACAGACTGGTCATGCATGACATTGAGCTGATGAGTGAGAAAGTTCTTTTTGTTCCTGCAAGTCCCAGAACCTAGTGAACTCCCTGGTGTGTAAAAGGTATCCTATATGTGGGAGGTAAATAAAAACAGGTGGCAAAATAGTTTGGGCCACTAACCTGAGTTCCTCAAAATGAATACATACACTCATTCCTCTCCATTTCTTCCTTTATTCAGACCATTGTGTAGACTCATGAATTCCATGAATTCATGCATTCAAATTACTGTAATAAATTAATTCCCATAATACATTCATTTCATCCATTAATTCACTCCATTTCCTTTTTTACTTTGTACACTCATTCTATTAATCCTTTTTACCATTTATTTATGTAGTGATTTATTCCATTCCCTCCTTCACTATATTCATTCATTAATGTATTTTATTAACTTAACAGATTTTTTTGTGACACAGAGATATTTTCTTTTTCTTTTCTTTTCTTTTTTTTTTTTTTTTTTTTTTGAGACAGAGTCTTGCTCTGACGCCAGGCTGGAGTGCAGTAGAGTGATCTCGGCCCACTGTAACCTCCGCCTCCTGGGTTCAGGCAATTCTCCCGCCTCAGCCTCCTGAGTAGCTGGGACCACAGGCACGTGCCACCATGCCCAGCTACTTTTTGTATTTTTTAGTAGAGATGGGGTTTCACCTTGGTCTCAATCTCTTGACCTCAAGATCTGCCCGCCTCAGCCTCCCAAAGTTCTGGGATTACAGACGTGAGCCACCGTGCCCAGCCCGAGCTATTTTCTTTAAGAGCGAGGCCATGCCATTTCCTTGGACTCTTCATAATTACTGTCATTCCACAGTTGCTAATTGAACATTTTGTTGAATGAAGACCTCATTTATTAATTTAAATGCATAAATACTATCAATTGTATATATTAAAGAATTGTGAAGAGAAAACTGGCTTTAGAACTCACCATCCAGACCATGGACACAGACAACCAGGTGAATTCCATCTTCCAAATTTTCTTCTTCTTCCTCTGGTGGGAAATATGGTATATCAGAAGCTAGTACAGTTAAGTCGCTGTACAGAAATCCTTCAATCTTCAGTTCTTTTTTAAATTTTTCTTTGGCCTGATAAAAACTGGAGAATATACTAGTTAATCACAAGCCAAGCTGTGTATTTCATGTTGAACAGGAAATGAGCTGGGCTGGTATGTAGGAGGGCTGAGCACCCACAGGCTAAGTGCCTGCTGAGTGGCAAATGCTGACCTGAGACCCCAGGGGAGAGGCTAGTGACGGAAGCTTTGCTTTCTCTGAACAAGAAGGCAGGAAAGCACTCTATGAAAACTAAAGCCTCTATGGGTTTCGATTCTCCAGATTCTTATGTGATTCCTGCATTGGACAGGAGGAAGAGTGACAAGACACCAAAGATTCTATCCGGCCCCATGTCCCCATGCAATCTTTAAACAGTGAGAGCTTCTTGACTTGATTGACACCCAGGCCCACCATGGCTTGACCTTCCCTGCTTCTCCAGTATCACTCCTTGCATGTCCAGCCTCCACAAAGATCACATTTCTTATAATTTCCTGCATGAACTACATGACTTCGCTTACTTCAATCCCTTGGTGCATGAGGGCCTGTATGCCTGAGATGCCTTTCTCATTTGGCTGTGACGTACTTTTGTTACCTGGCAAGATGATGCTGAAGGGACTGGACTCAGGAGTCAGACTGCCAAGGTCAGAATCTCAACTTTGACACTTAGTATCTCTGTTATTATTTGTTATTAGCCTCAACTTCATCCTCATTGTATCTTACATTTTCTTCTCAGAGCAGGTGTCCACTTCTCTAGGAAGCTTTGCTTGAACACCATCCCTATTCACACTCACTACCCCCAGTCAAATTAGGTGCTTTTCTTTCTGGCTCCACCACGCACACATGAAACATCACATTTACCCAGTCACTGCCCTCATTTCCTTTTCTCATGTGTCTCTCTGTTAGACTGCAGGTACAATAAAAGCCAGGAATTCCTGGCCAGGCAGGCATTGGACAGCATCTGCTATGTCTACTATGTACTCATTGAATTAACAACAAGTACCATATGATAGGTATTTAATATTCTTCAACAAACAAAAGACCTAATGTTTGCCTGCCTGTGGCAATTTCTTTTGGAGACAACACTAACAAGTAACTCTTTAGCATTTTGCAAAAGGGTAAATAAGATGGCATGTTTTGATAAAATGATTCTATTATATACCTAATCAGATAGTTTATAAATGGGGGAGCAATATGAATGTAAACTCTACACGAGGATGAAGAAATGCATTCTGGCATTACAAAGGTAAACTTAAAAGTCACACAATGGTAAAGGGTGCTTAGGGATCAAATCTGATGAAGAACTGTATTCCCCAAAGGCTCTTAAAGAACTCCGCTTTCTAAACGTGCAAAGGTAGAGAAACAATGTTATTCATAAGAGAGTTATGATATTCATAATAAAAATTGAACAAAATTGGCTGCCTGCAGTGGCTCACACCTATAATTCCGGCACTTTGGGAGGCAGAGGCGGGCAGATCACCAGGTCGGGAGATTGAGACCATCCTGGTCAACATGGTGAAATCCCATCTCTACTAAAAATACAAAAATTAGCTGAGCGTGGTGGCACACATCTGAAATCCCAGCTACTCAGGAGGCTGAGGCAGGAGAATCGCTTGAACCCTGGAGGCAGAGGATGCAGTGAGCTGAAATTGTGGAGCTGCACTCCAGCCTGGTGACAGAGTGAGATTCCATTTCCAAAAAAAAAAAAAATTGAATGAAATTTAAAGGTTCATTGTAAAGGATTTGGTTAATAAATCATGGTATGTTCATGTAAGAGAATATTGTATAATCATTAAAATGATTTTATAATACAGATTTATAAACATAACAAGATATTTATAAGATGTTATTAATTTAAACATTTACAATTGCATTTGTACAGAATGATCTTATTTTTATATAAAAAGCATAAATAGATATAGATTCACATGGAAAAAATGCAGAAGAATATACATGGTGGTTACATATGGAGGTAGACCTAGTGATCATGTTTACTTCCTTCCAGTATTCTGCATTCTTAATTCCTATGATATGAATTAAATATATATAATATCACGTATTATCTGTACTATGATATATATTACTTTATTTAAATCAGATAATGACACATATCGAAATTTTGAAATAGTATGCATGAAGTGGAGATACATGTAGAAAAATCTAAAAGACTGTTGTGGGAAAGGTAAGCCCATCAGCCAGCTTACCTAAACATCCTTTCCCGCACTTCCTCATCCAGCGTGCTGGAATGGGTAGAAACAACTCCAAAGGATCCCAAAGGCTGATGAGTGATGGGAAACAGGGTCTGTTTGGAGGAGAATCCAGCCCTGGCAGGGGTCTCGTTAGGCACAGATGAGAAAGGGAGACATGTGGCAGTGCAAGACACAGATAAGTTAACAACCTCCACAGCCTTCAGGCTGTCCAGAGTGAAGGTCTCTGCAGAGGTCAGGTGGGACCCTGTGATGGAAGTGCCTGCCTTCAGCTCTTGGTTTTTCAAAACCTGGGAATGAACGGAATGGGTCACAGTGGGGCACACAGGGCCTGCTTTATGTTTAACCTCCGGGAAGGCAGTCACTCCTCTATCAAATGCTGTGTTATCCATAACACAAGGTGAACCACTTTGGCTTCGCTGGCCTGTTGAGTTCAAGTTGGTGGCATCAGCAGCTGATGTATGACTCAATTCCGGCACCTTATGCTGGGAGATACCCTCAGCCTCTGAGATGCCACTGTTAGAAAGAGCCGTCTGACCCATCTTCAAGTCTTTAGGCTTGCCCTTTGGGGTTTCCATTAGTGCTCTATGAAGAGATCTGGTCCTGGGGGTTTCGAGTGCTATGACACGTGGTATTTTTAAATTAAGACCTTTGGTTTCAATACCTGGAGTGTTCTCAGTCCTGCCATCAAGAAGACAGTCTCCTTGAGCTTCAAACTGCTTCCCTTTCCCTTTGGGGCTGTCTTTGTCCCCTGGGCTCTGCTCGTTGTCAGCATCTAAAACTATCTCCACCAGGGGATGGTCCACTCCAGTATCCTGTGTTCCAGAGTCACCGCAAAGTTGAGAGCAAGGTCCAGGGGAACCTTGGCTCCTGCTGTGCACATCTGAAGGTTCAGCAAAACCTCTGTCTTGCTGCTTGGTGTCTATATCCTCAGCGGCCTCCTCTGGGCTACTGATGTGGGGAGCAGATACGGACTTGGTTAACTTAGTGAGTGCCAACTCCCGCTCATCCTCCTCAAAAGGTAAAGAGCTAATAGAGGTAAGAGAAGCCTGGATGCCACTTGGCAGACTCGTGTTACTTTCTGTGTGTCCACCCTCTAGGGAGTTCCGGTGGAGGGCATGTCTTCGAACAAACGGGTGCAAGACTTCCCGATCACTGGGCAACTCCAGGGCCCTGCTTCGGGCCTCTGACCAGGCAACAGAGCTTGGCTCACTCTCGATGCCTGAATCAGATATGATGGATGAAGATCTCTTGATGACCCCGGAGAGCACAGAGAGTTCCTCCTGCTCTTCTGTATGAGAATCCTTTAGGGAGGACCTGACATCTAAGGGCTCCCTCAGGGTAGAACTTAGTGGGTCACAGGGCTCAGAGGGGATGAGCTTCAAGCCTAGCAGCACCATCTTCCCCTCTTGGTCTGCTCCCTTTCCAAGAGTACTTAATTCATGGAGAGCTGTTTTGTCCGATGAGATGGTGTTTGGGTGGCTTCCACCTGCTACCACTTTGCTTAGCCCAGTCCTGTCTAATCCATGCTTATCTCTAGAGCTCCTATTCTCATGCTGAGCATTGAAGGCCACCGGAGGTTCAGCTCTGGAGGGGTTCTTATTGCTAGATTTTATATCAATGTAGGTCAGCACTGGGGCCTGTTCATCCTCTGGGCCTGGACTCCTTCTAGAAGTGTCCACATCTGCCATGGGATATGTCCCAGCATCAGATGTTTGGCTAGTCCAACATTCATCTTCAGGCACACCTGCTTTGCTTTGAAATTCACCAATTGTCATATACACCTGAAAGTCAGAGCACATATCCGTATGATTTTGTGTGGCCGCATTCTCAGCCAGCTCTGGACACCTGGTAACTTCTTCATCAGAATCCACTTGGGATGGTTTTATGGCAGACAAGCCAAGGTCTTCCCTAAAAGATAAATTGCTATTTACCATACAATTATCTTCTTTCTCTTTTAGATTCATTATTGTAGGACTTGTCACTGGAACATCAAAATTAGGATAAACACTCAAGTTATGCCCTACAAAAAAAAGAAAGAAAATTATAGTATAAGAATTTATGTTTACAAGTCATCCAAATGTCTAACTGTATAATAAAGAATTTGGCTTTTTTTCATTCCTAATTCCTAAGAGATACTCTCTAAATTCTTAGAATTTCTCAAATGGTAAGAGTGTCTTTGTTACATGCATCTTGATAGTTTCTGCTAACCAGAGACTCATGACGAATCCCTAAACACTTCATGTTAATAAGTTAATTCAGGATGGAGGATGGCCATGCCGGAAAGACCAGCCACCTGATGAGAGGGTTAAGATGTCAGTCAAGTAATACCAGCCTGATTTCTGGGCAAGAGTAGCCTGGGGATGTATTCTGGTCACAATGAAGCTCCAGTAAAAACTGAATTCTGAGGCTTAGCTGAGTGTCTCTGGTGACGATACATACAGACTGGTGTGCCTGGAGGTTGGTCACTCCCGAGGACACAGACAGTTTATGTGTGAGACTCCTCAGACCTCATCCTATGGATCTCCTTTTTAACTGGATGTTACTTGTATCTATAATAAAAATGTAATTGTATGTATGATGCTTTCCTAAGTTCTGTGAGTCATTCTAACAAATTATTGAACCTGAAGGGGTTAAGGAAACCCACAATTTGTAGCCAGTTGTTCAGAATATGGGTGGCCTGGGAACCCCTGAGCTGGTGTCTGGTATTTAAAGGTCAAGTTCGTCCGGGATTGTGCCCTGGCGAAGTTTGACCTCTGGATAGTTAGTGTTAAAACTGCACGACACAAACAAAACACTTGTCATCCTTTTATCAAAGTACTTATAATAACCCCCACTTGTAAACATTAAAACATTTCTCCATCTTATGCACAATATTTACAGAGTAAAAGAGAGCTTTAGAGCCAGAAAAGCCTGATCTTCGATTCCAACATTGCCATTTACCAGCTGTGAGACCTTGGACAACTGTGGAACTTCAAAAAGCTCTTACCCTATTGGAGGTCACTTCCCTCAACTCTACAATGGAAAGATTCAAAGTAAAGGTAATGCTCTACAGTCATAAATCATAGTAGAGTCATGATACAAGATGATGTTACATTTGGGGAAGGAAGATTTCTACTTTCCTCAGAAAAATACTGCCAAGCTTGAGTTCTATTCGGATAAACTATCCTTTGTGGCATTCAGACCACAGGGAAGCTCCCAGAATCATTGTGATCTTCAAAATCAGATGGTGAGAAGCCAAAGACAATCTTTTTCCTAGTTTTTTCTTAGATAAGCCATTATCTCTCTCAATCTCTTATCTCTTCTTCCCTTCTTTCTCTCTCTCTCTCTCTCTCTCTCTCTCTCTCTCTCTCTCTCTCTGCCTCTCTCCCTCCCTTTTAAGAATTCGTGACTAGACAAAAACAATAACCTCCCATGTCTGTCTGTACCATGGCTCTCAATAAAGTCATCTGACATGTTATTCAATTTGCATATACACCAAACAAAAAAAAAGAGAACTGGATTATTATTTTCTTTAAATAGTTTGAATCCTCCATGTCATCTTATTAGAAGTTAAATCAATGCAATCACTATTGAATGTGATCATGAAGTAAACCCAGACACTACTTAGAGACTGCAGGAAGCATTCAGATGTGATGCTTTTGAATGAAGTTTATGATGGCAACAAGGACATAATGGATCTCTTCCTTAACAGGACACAGTCTTCGCATCCTGGGAGACTGAACAAATTTCTCTCTCTCTAGGAGACCCTTCCCACAGCCTACAGCAAGTTAGACGTTCTCTAACAAATTCCAAGCCTCCCTTCTACAAACACGCAGTGTGACACATCCTATTGCCATACTGTGATCTTTTTGTGCATCTGTTGTCAACTCTGGAGAGAAGAGTTTGTGTTATATGAATCTCTGCAGCCCCAAAGCTGGCATCATGGCTAGTGCATAGGCAATAAATTGAGAACAGAACAGAAACCCAGCAAAACAAATAGTAGTGTGCTCTTTATTGTTTGCATTGGTTTGAAAAACAGTTGCTTCAATATCATTTCATACCATAAACAGTACTTTGACATATTCTATGTAAAAAATCCCTTTCCTAGGCAGTGGCTTAGGAAGAGGGAAAGTGAGTACTAGTTATAACAGTGAACCAGTCTCCGCCTTTAAGGCATTTGCAAAATATTGGGAAATATACACAGATACAGCTATCTCTTCTGCCAAAATAACATGGACTCTGGCAAAACTATGAATAAAGTAAAAAGATCAGTGGTTGCCAGGCACTGGGGAGAAGGAAGGATGAATATACTGAGCACAGAGGATTTTTAGAGCAGTGAACTCCTGTGTATGATATTATAAGAGTGGATGCATGTCACTCATTATATATCTGCCCAAACCCACAGAATGTGCAACATGAAGAATGATGCAAACTAGGGACTTTGGGTGATGATGATGTGTCAGTGGAGATGCATCTGCCGTAACAAAGGTACCACTCAGGTGGGAGATGTTGATGACGAAGAAGGCTATGTAGGTGTGGTGGCAGGAGGTATGCAGGAAATCTCTGTATCTTCCTCTTTATTTTCCTTCACTGGGAACCTAAAATGTCTCTTAAAAAGTCTTCAAAACAATAAAAGAATGGGACTGCTGGGGAATATGAAATGAGCTTCTTCAGAAAGGAGCAAATGAACCACACCAGGCACAGGGAATGGTGTGGACAAAGGCCTGGGAGGCTGAGTGCACACTCTGCTTGGGTATTGGCTTATTCCCACCTGGATGGAACAAGAGTGAGGTGTTGGGGTATGAAGTCAGACAGGGAGAGAACCCATGCCATAGGTGAACTTGAACGCCTTGTATAAATGAGTCATCTGGTCTTTATATCACAGTTAACAGGTCATCGATTCTTGGAATAAAAAAAAAATTATCAGATTCATCTCAGACAGTTAAGACAGAAAACAAGGAGCGCAGAAAGTAAGTCAGTTTCCAAAATAGCAGATAATTGGTTTCACTCTTGTAATTATAGAAAAATGAGGGTAGCAAAGGATCTAATTGAAAGAATGGATTTAGAGTCAGATACTAATGAAAAGCGTTAGCTAACATGCATTCAGAATGCCTTTGTGCCAGTTGCTCTTTTAAGAGTTTTAGGGACTGATCAATCCACTGGTCATGGCAATCCTATGGAGGAAAAATTCCAACCCCTTTGCGCAATTTTACACAGTTACTAATTGTTAGGGGGAAGACTCAACACCAGACAATCTGACCAACTCTTCAGGCTTTAGGCAAATCTCCCAGTTGCATTGGGATAGAGAGACATGGCATGAGCATAGGGGGAGCACACACAAAGACAGAATTTGCAGAGTGCCTGACACAGGACACATGCTTAGGCCACGTGATATGGTTTGGCTATGTCCCCACCCCAAATCTTATCTTGAATTGCAGCTCCCATAATTCCCATATGTTGTGGGAAGGAGCTGGTGGGACATAATTGAATCATGGGGGAGGTTTCTCCGATCCATCTGTTCTCATGCTAGTGAGTAAGTCTCACGAGAGTTGATGGCTTTATAAAGGAAAGCCCTTTTGCTTGGTTCTCATTCTCTCTTTGCCTGCGGCCATGTTAAGATGTGCCGTTCAACTCCCACCATGATTGTGAGGCCTCCTCAGCCACATGGAACTGAGAGGCCATTAAACCTCTTTTTCTGTATAAATTACCCAGTTTCGAGTATGTCTTTATCAGCAGCATGAAAACACACTAATACACCATAGTTCTGTCACAGACCATGAACAAATGCTATTATGGGTTTAGTTAGTTGTTTTTTTCCTTTTAGAGACAGTGTGTCACTCTGTCACTCAGGCTGGAGTGCAGTGACAGGAGGCACAGTCATAGCTCACTGTAGCCTCAAACTCCTCGGCTCAAGCGAACCTCCCAGCTTAGCCTCCTGAGAAGCTGGGACTACAGGTGTGAGCCACGGTTCCCAGCAAATGCTGTTATTTTAACATAGAAATGTAAACTTTTTATTTCCCTTTTTCCTTACACTGGAAGAATGGAATGCAAATATTTCTGATAACATCATGGCAAGGCATAAATATTAAGGTAACTGGGTTCTTGAGGAAAGAGAAATTAGTTCTTTATCACTCATGCTTTTGATCTGGGGTTAAAGAATCACCAAAATGCTCTGTAAGTGATGAAGGGCTTCAAGAAAAGCTTCTAGTTTGGAGTGGGGGTACAGATATTTCTGGGAAAGGAGTCTGGGGGATTGAGAAGGCTGAGGTCCAGTGTCCATGGAGAGAAGCCTGGTGGTGAGCTTCTCACCTCTGAGAGTGACTGCCTTTGTTCTTCTAGGAAGATGAATGTATCTGGCACACCAGAGTCCTAGCCTCAAGCTTAACACAGAAGCTGCAAGGAGAGGCTGGTCCTAAAATGTGACATTGTAAAAGGAATATATCCTGGACCCCCAAAATCACTAAGCTAAAGGGAAAAGCCAAGCTTGGAACTGCTTCAGGTAAACCTGCCTCCCATTCAGAAGTCACCCCTCTGCTCACTGAGATAAATGCATATCTGATTACCTCTTTTGGAGGGGCTAATCAGAAACTCAAAAGAATGCAACCCTCTGTCTCTTATCTGCCTATGACCTGGAAGCCCCCTCCCTGCTTCCAATTGTCTGCCTTTCCTGACTGAACCGATGTTCATCTTATACATATCTTGACTGATATCTCACATCTCCCTAAAATGCATGAAACCAAACCGTGTTCTGACCACCTTGGGCATATGCGATCAGGACCTCCTGAGGCTGTCACAGGCACATGTCCTCGACCTTGGTAAAATAAACTTTCTAAATTAACCGAGACATAGCTCAGATTTTTGGGGCTTACAACATAAATATGGATAACCAAAGGCTTAGAGGAAACTGCATGTTTGGACAAACAAAGACCTGGAACCAACCTGAATGCCCATCAATTATAGACTGGACCAAAAAATGTAGCACATACACACCATGGAATACTATGAAGCCACAAAAAACAATGAGTTTGTGTCCTTTGCAGGGACGTGGATGAATCTGGAAACCATCATTCTCAGAAAACTGACACAAGAACAGAAAATCAAACACTGCATGTTCTCACTCATAGGCAGGTGTTGAATGATGAGAACACATGGACACAGGGAGGGAGCATCACACTGGCATCTTTTGGGGGAGGCCAAGGTAGGGACAGCAGTGGGGTGGGGAGGTCGGGGAGGGATAACATGGGGAGAAATGCCTGATGTAGGTGATGGGGGGGTGGAAGCAGCAAACCACATTGCCATATGTATACCTATGCAATAATTCTGCCTAATCTGCACATGTACCCCAGAATCTAAAGTACAATTAAATAAAATGTAAGTTAAAAAAAATAGAGATATGTGATATAATTGCACCTGCGAGTTGAGGACCTGAGATTTATATTCACAAGAACATAAGTTAATATGTGAAGAAATAAAAGCCTGAAAGACAATCTGCAACCAAACCTAATAATGATAACACTAGAGGTTCAGACAGTGGGTGATAAATTTCTCCTCCAACAGTTCAGATTCTCTGTAGTTAAATCATAACTCTAATGAAGATGCACTAACCTATAAATATACATGCATACCTACATATGCATACATACACATACATATATATGCAAACACACATATGGACATGCACACACACACACCCCACAGAAGAAAAAGTCTGTGTCATGTTTCAAACTTGTTTCCACCAGCTGTTTTTAGACTGTCTCTGGCCTGTACTCTTTGTAACTGCTATACACTGTGTGGACACTAGATGTCAGGGCATAACTGAGAACCAAATAACCCTATGTTTGCAAGGTTGCACTGCCCTTGGAAGTCACCTGGATTTTTTAAATATTCTACAAGTCTCAGGTTGCAGAATCTTTGAAATTTAGCCATTTTAAAGCATTGCTTAAATGATGGGCACCTAAACATAATGATTTAAAACTCCTTGCACAGACAGCAAGACAGAGCATGGACTTTGAAATCAGACTGAGCTGGCTTTGAATGTTGCCTTTAATAAGGCTTGTGATCTTTAATAAATTCTTTTACTTAGTGCCTCAGATTTTCTCTGTGGCATAGAGCTTGTGAGATTGTTTATAGGATTAAAGAGATAAAGCACCTAAAACCTCCAGCATAGGGCCTGATGTTTTTCTGATCCTTGAAGGGAGCAGGGGACTAATTAGGTTGCTGAGTTTCCAGGAGCAGGGCCGTGGGCCAGGACAAGAAACGAACCTTGACCTCATGCCCAGGGCACTCCCTTGACCTCTCAGTCCACTAACAAACTCTGTGTGACATCAGCAAAACAGATTGCACTCTGAATACGTACACAAACATGTTATCTTTTCTTCCTGAAATGAATCATTCATCTATTAATCTATATAGAGTAAGTCCTCATTTAACATCATTAATAGGTTGCTGGAATCATTGACCTATAACACGATTAAAAGGATGCATAATAGAATCAGTTTTAACTATAAGTTAATTGCTATAAACAAGAGTTAAGTTCCTATGGCATACTTCTGATCCCGAAAACACCAATAAACTTCTAAATAAAGACCTAAAACACTTCTAATATTTAACTCTGAAGTAAATCTGAGTTATGCATACATTTAAAAATAATTAATAAAAACAAATAGGCCAGGCATGGTGGCTCACGCCTATAATCCCAGCACTTTGGTAGGCTGAGACAGCTGGATCACTTGAGGTCAGGAGTTCGAGACCAGCCTGACCAACATGGAGAAACTCCGTCTCTACTAAAAATACAAAATTAGCCAGGCATGGTGGCACATGCCTGTAATCTCAGCTATTCAGAAGGCTGAGGCAGGAGGATCACTTGAAGTCGGGAGGCAAAGGTTTCGGTGACCCGAGATCACACCATTGCACTCCAGCCTGAGCAATAGAGAAAGACTCTATCATAATAATGATTTGCTGAGTATTTGGCGACTCAATGAGTGACAGCAGTTGCAGCAGTGGTGGGTGAGATCAAAGAATGTGTCTGCAAAGTGAAATTGTAAGGAGCACCTCCTGCCAACCTATACAGTTCACAATCAATCAGAAATATGGTAGCTCACTGAGTGCTTCCATACTTTGTCCTTTCCTGGTGGCTCAGGAAAACAGATCAGCCTGGACAAGACACCACCTCATTGCAGGACTCAGCTCTGGACAAGACTCCATCCCATCTCAGGGCGCACTCACACACACCCACACTCACTCAGACCACTATGATGTATACACACCAATTCACCTAATGGGCAAAGCTGTAGAGTATGCGGGGAATTGAAATACATGGAGAAAAAACACCCAGGCAGACAAGGGGAGAATGTGTCAACTCCACACTGACAGTGGCCCAGATGGCCCAATGCCTTCAAAGTTCACCTGGAAATGGCATTTATTTGAATGGCACATTTGAGACAAGAAAGGATCTTCATCTGACTCTCATGCCACTCTGGTGTGGGAGTGGGCAGGCTGTGGTTCCTATTTTGCAGGTGAAAATACTGAAGCATTACATATAATTCCACTTCAAAAGGAGTCAAGGAGTAAGCTTTTCACTGTTACTTTGTTAGATCTGTTTGTCGATTTCACGGAAATAAAGTCGTTTCAAACCATTACCTTGTTTCCTCTCTACAAACTGACAAAATCCTTCATTAATTTGGTCTCCCTTCTGCTGGGACATAAACAAACCAGGCCACTGTTGGAAACCCACTGGACAGTATTATTCCAGAGTCTTTCCAACACACAACAGACAAACCTGTCGCAGGGCAGTCCACATATCTGTCCTCAAAGATGACCGGCAGGGTGTTCCAATCGCCGTCAATGTCCAGGCACTCTGCGGGCAGCGGGGGCATGCTGGTGAGGTACTCCGAGTTCCGGATGTCCAGGGACAGCTGGCTGTGAGTCTGTATCCTGGGGAGCACATGGCAGGGTGAACATCGAGGGAAAAGGCAAAGGGTTTCAAACTGTTGCCCCCTCTTCCTAATCCCAGAAAAACACTAGGAAAATTCTCAGCCAACTCTGCCCCTCACTCTCCCTTTCTTCCACCCACCTACTCAGCCCCCAGAGCAGTAGACTGCTTTGCTTTAAAACTGGCTATGGCATTGAGGTTAGAGAACGTGGACTGAAGGATTAGTGTAAACATGAGGGTATTTATCATAGACCATTTTAGTGGAATATAATAAATACATTCGTGGAAAGCAAGCTGAGTTTTTAAATGACCAGAAATCTTATTTTTGGGTAAAAAGTGTGAATCTACATATCCTTTACTCTTGTTTTTACTTTTTAGACCTCTTACGATCTGGTCATATTTTGGCATATTTGAATTAAAACCTCACAGAGTCTGTGGCCTTTGGAGAAGACTTGAGCTTGCAGAGCCAGTTTCTGCCTATCACTCTTGTTCGAGCAGCCAGCCCACTTCTTACTCTCTAGCCTTGTAAACCAGCTGCCTGTAGAAGAGCCTCACAGCTGTGAAATGCTGCACAGACTCAAAGCAGCTTCTCAAACCCAGCATCCTCAGTAACAGATGCAATGAAGATAAAACTATGGACATATACAATACTTATGTATATATATTTCATATAATATACATACATACTGAATTCACATATTAACTATGATTTCCTGCACATATCCATAATATTCATATTAAATATGTATGTTTTGTTTCCTTCTCATGTTTCAATTGGATCTTCACCCACCGAAATAGAGGAAGTTATTTTTTCTTCCTCAAAGCCCTGAACGCTACTACAGCTTCATAACTCTGTGAATTTTCAGAATATTTAACTCTTTAAATATCCTTCTCAGTATATTTAACTCTTTCAATATTCTTATCTGGGTTTTTAAATGGAATTTTGTTGCAGTCAATTCTGCACTTTTTACCACCCTCTGAATCTGAAACTTCTGGTCCAGTTTTTTATTTATTAGAAAATATGTTGAACACCAGTGGATGTAGGATGGTGTGCACAGACTAGGAAGTATACCTAGAGGATTGCAGCTTGGTTTTAGGTCTAACAGCTAACAGTCATGGGAAAAAAAAGTGATTAAGCAAATAATTGCAATATAGCGGGACAGGTATGGGAGAGTTAGGTCTAAGTTATGTTATGCAGGCTGTGATCTAGGAAAATGCAGCTTCTTGCGCATAGGACTATCATGAATGTGACCAAGTACCTAAAACAGTGTGTTGAAAACAGACTGAAAATGCTAAAGAGTACCTAGGAATCAGTGCCTCTCTCTGATTGGAGGAATCTGAAGGATCTGGCTCTAGACCAACGTCCTGTGCATGACCTCTTAGCTCAACCACAGGCAAGTGCAAGGTTTTGCTAGGCAGGCTTCCTGGGAGAAGCTTCCCTGGCCTCTTTAAACCGGATGCATGGCCAGTGCGAAGCGGCTGTCTAGAGGAACTTGCAGGATAGTTGTGTCATGCTAGATATAACTATGACACTCTCACTGTCTTTATTTGAAGATTAAATATGGTTTAAGAAATGCAAATGGGGGCCAAGGTGACAAGGGGTGGATTTGTGATGGTTGATTTTGAATGTCACCTTGACTGGATTATGTGTTCCCCATAGAGCTGGTAAAGCACGAAACATTCTCCAACATTGCAGGGATTATTCTCAATGCTTCTGCTAAAAGGGAAACCCAGGTGGTTTGGCATGGATTAGAATGACTGGGCTGCTCCAGGTGTGTCTGTGAGGGTGTCTCCAGAGGAGACTGGTGTGCAAATTGTGAGACTGAGTGGGGAAGATCTACCCTTAATGTGGGTGGCACCACTCAATGAGCTGGGTCCTGGATGGAACAAAAAGCAGAGGAAAGGTAAATTCATCTCTCACGCTCTCTTGGATCTGGAATGTTCTTTTCCTGCTGTCAGAACTCTAGATTTTCTAGCTCTGGGACTCCAGGACTCCCAACAGCCCCCACCCCCTGCACCCACTGGACTCCAGGGGCTCCCAGCACCATCAGCTTCCCTGGTTCTGAGGAATTCAAGCCTGGCCTGAGCCATGCTACCAGCTCCCCTGTCCTCCAGCTGACAGAAGGCCCATCGTGGGATTTCTTGGTCTCCACAATAAAGTAAGTCAATTGTCCTAATATATTCCTTCTCACTTTTCTCACTCGCCACATATATCGTATGGGTTTTGTCTCTCTGGAGAACACTGACAAAAACAGATCCCGGTAACAGAAATTAGCAGGTGATAACTGACTGAAGCAAGTCAGGGAGAAATGATCCAGGCAGGGATACTCTCTCCTCCAGGGCAAAGATCACAGTTAGGAAACACCACAATCCACCCGACTCTGCCCATCCAAAGGCAACTGTGATGTCCACTTACCCTGCTCTGTGTTTTGACAATGGCTGTCACCTTCTATCATACTGCATAACTCACTGATTCACAGTGCTAAGTGGCCAGCACCTGTCTTCTGACACATGCTGTCTTGCTCACTGATGTGATGTATCCCAAGTGCCTTAGGCAATGCCTCCTCTATAGTGAACAGTATTTTGACTAAAAGTACTTGTTACATGAATGCAATGAATCAACATGGCGTATGCAGGGAACTAGGAAACCCTGCAAGAGCAGTTCAGAGGAGGCGGCAAAGGGAGGCTGGGGCTGCAGGAAGGTCCTGAGCACCTTTTTTGAGTCTAGACTCTATGTGGGCAATGAGGAAACAGTGAAGACCAATAGGCCAGGAAGGGCCACAGCCTCATCTGTGTCTGAGACTCATCATTCTGACCAGGCAGGGAGTCTGTGAGTAAGTAGGTTTGTTTACATGTGTGGTATGTGCAGATGTGTGGACATGGGTGTGGTATGTGTGTGCATACATTTTTCTGGGTGTATATGCATGTGCACATGTGTTTTTAAGGACACGTGTTTATACATGCAGAAGTGTGCATGGGTGTGCATATGGGTGTCGCTGGGTGTGTGCATGGGTGCATATGTGGGAATGTATTGCTGCATGTACAATGCATATTGATGTAATAGTCTTTTATAGGGTTCTGTGGAGAATAAAGAGGGATAGGCTAAGAAAGGTCAATTAAAAGACAACAATACTTGACCAATATTTAAAGGAAAAAACCACGTTCTCTCTGAATTAAGCAAACTAGGGAGAATGTGGAGTTAGAGTTGAGTTTATTATTAGCAAAACTGGGAGTGAATCCTGACTGCTGACCCTCCAAGGCTCTGAATGACCCCCATCCCAGCCATCACTGTCACTCCTCCACCTGCCTCTTCACACAGCCCTCCAGCCCCACTGACGTTCTCCTAGATCTTTGGTGCAGCTTTCAGGTTGCGTCTGGCCTCAGGGCCTTTGCACTGGCCATTACCTCCACCTGTAACGTACTATCCTCTGGGGCTTCTTCCCACCTTCAGAACGTAGTGTCAATGTCACCTGCTCTGAACTCTTCTCCTTTAACACCCTTCTTTAGAGAGCTAATGGTCCTATTCGGTCAAATCAGGAACTTTCTGTTACCCGGTTTTTTAGCCCTCTCTTAAATTTTCTTGGTTATCTGCAAATTTATTTATTGTCTTCTCTGTCCAGTGAGGGCTGAGACCTTGTCTACCTCATATGTTTTTTAAATCACTGTATGGAAAGTCCGCAGATCAGTTCCTGGATATAATGGATGACAAATAATCATGCAGAGGGAGGGAGGAAGGGAAGGAGAAGTGGCCTGAGTAAGTAAACACGTATAAACAACTAGGAGTAGCATTAACTGAATAAGAAATCCTCATTCCTTACCCTCAGGAGGATCCAAATAGGGATCTGAACTCTGCCTTTGCCTTTTCGAACTGTCACCTTCTAATCCCCTCCCTGCGCACTCCTCCCCCATCCCCCATCCCCCCACTGCAGAAGCCACACCAATGGGAAGAGACTAGCCTGGAATGAAGCCTGCATAGGTCAGCCTCGCACACCTGTGTCTGAGTGTGCACGCTCCATGCATGGCCCCTGTCCAGCACATGGTCCCCTCCTCATCCATCTAAATGACACTCTGGGGAGCAGAGTTTGTTTGGAAACCGGTTGTTGGCAGAGTAGGCAGAGACACTTCCATTCTGATCATTCAGGCAGAATCCTTGGGTTTTAGTTAGGTTATTCTGTGTGGCACATAGGGAAAGAGTCTCCTGGAGCATACAGGACCTGGCTCCTCTGTTCTTTTCAACGTCAGGTTTACCTGAGTTCGAGCTTATGCTGAAGGACTGTAATCCTGACTCCAGGAATACAGCATGAAAGCATGAGGACACTTCCGTTTCAGAGGTTCAAAAATCTGCTATTCACTTTATTTCTTCTCATGTGTTCCTTAGGATGATGGCTCAACAGTGCACAGAGAAGCCAAAGCCAGGAGGTTTCGAGTGTGGTCTCTGGGCTCCAGCAGATCCATGTGTGTGTCACTTGCTGGCTGTGTGACTAAACCTCTCTGAGCCCAGGATTCCTCAGTTTCTTCTTCTTTAGAGTGGGGAAAATATTAGTACCTACCTCATTGAGTTAATGTGAACATTAAATGAGCTAAAGTAGGTAAAGCACTCAAGTTTCTGATCAGAGTAATTTCAATAGACTAAGCACCATGAATAAATGCCTATTTATTCACACCAGGTAAAATACCTATTGTGTTCAACCCTGCGGATGTAGCATCTCTTAGAATGAATTCCTTTTCAAAAGTTAAAACTGAAAATTATCAACACAGGAAATGTAAAAGTCGGAGTGCTATCTCATAATTATTGTTATGAAAACGAACACATCAGGATAGGTCTTCTTCCCATCACCCCTTCCACATTCATTCCTCAGCAAACTTTCACCCAGCACCTCCTTGCTGTGGAAAAAGCACTGGCTACACATTGGTAAAACAGAGAAGAGGAACAATAACACATACCCGTGCTGCTGGCCAATTCTAAATCATTTGTGAACACGTCTCAAAAATTATGACCCAAGGCAAGATGGTCTTCATTTCCAAGGCAACCCAGTGCAATCGCATCCATCCCTCGAGAAATGCATGTACTGAAGCAAAAGTTTCAGCCAACACTCCTTCCTCAAACCATCTATTCTACCCTGCCCTGTCCTTTCTTATTCCCTCCTATCCTATCCTATTTCATTTAAGAAGCACTATTCCAAATACACTAAGTTGATTTCCCTGTCCACTAAATGATTGTGATCCACTGTTTGCGAAACACAATTTAATCTGAGCCTGAACAAGATGTGTCTTGACAGATGAGTTTCACCTGTGCCATCTGCATTGCCCCATGTCCATCCTGATTGGGAGTGTGCCGCTGTCTCATGTGTAAGCAGCATGACCTCCCTGGGGTGACGACCTCTCTCCAGCTCTGACCTCCAGGTGTGCAGAACCACATTCATGCATAGGTGCCAGCCCTGCATCACCCTCTTCACTATCTCACGGTTAGCCTCACTTCTCTTCACAGCACTTTGTACCTTTTCTCTAGTAATTTTCTCAGTCTGAAATAAAATTCTCACTCTCTGTTTTTGGCTCTTATTCTTGGTGACCTGGCTGAACATTTACTTTTCCTGAGTAGTTTCCCTCCTATCTTAGTCTATAATTTATGTTTTCTGCTAATGTCTACTCTTCACTGAAAGCTTACAACATTCTCTCATCTCTAAAGTCACTCAGATGATAAACATTACAATCTCCTAGGAATCTAGGGAGCTCCATCTCCCTCCTGAATCAGATCTCCACTCAACCATCACCTTCTCCAGGAGACCTTCTGTGACAATCCCATGAACTAGTACCCTCTGTTCCTCTCACACAGATGTATGTTTCCGGTAACATTTATTACCCCTTAGCATATCATATCTATGTACTTGTACGCCTTCCATTGTCAAAATAAAAGCTCAATGAGAGAGGGGATTTGTCTGACTTATTCACTGTTGAATACCCAACACCCCAAATTGTGACTAACGCATAGTCAACACTAAATACATTATTTATTGAATGAAGGAATCTTCCCTTTACACCTAAAAATAAATTAGATATAAGAGATTCAGTGACTAGTTTGATGTCACAAGCATTACAAGTTACAGAATCAAGATTTCAAATCTTGTATGTAAGATTTGAAATGCCAAGGCCCATCTTCATTTGCTGGTAAAAGAAAAACAAAAGCATTAACCATAATTATCATAGTACACAATCCAAAGTCTTTTTCTGGCCGACAAGCCCCACATAGTTGGGTCCCTGCTGTCCTCTGCCCCGCCTCTTCTACTTTCTCAATCTGTTCTAGCTACACTTGCCTTCTTGCTGCTCTTCAAACACATTGTGCTTCCATATCAGCACTTTTTCAACAACCATTCTGTCTGCTTGAACCATATTCTCGTATGGCATGGCATGGCTTGCTGTAGCTCCAGGCACTCTTCAAATCTCACATCTTCAAAAAGACTTTCTTATCACTTTGGCTAAAACAGACTTTCTCTTCTACTCGTTGCTGGGCACTGGAGCCCATTCACACTGGTTTGCAATAGCATCTCTTCCCCATTCCATATTCAGTAATAGCACACTGTGAAAACATTTGCACAGAAGAAGCCAGCAAACACTACAAAGGCAGTTTGCCCTTTGTCTGTTTTTGCTTTTCCGAAAGTTGGTTGTTTAACATTTATGAGGACACTGGTCATACCCCACTTCTCTTCATTTTCTATGTTCTTATCTTGCCTTTTTTCTTCCACTTGGCAAAACTTGAAATAATGTAATTTCTACCTTGCCTGTTTCTTGACTAGGATGAGTGACCCATGTATACAGCACCTTTACTGCTTTCTTGCTGTATTTCCACTCCTATGTGGACAATACACATTTGCTTACTTCTTCAGGCACCGTCTTACGTTTTCTGAGCAGAGTCTGTGGCTAGCTCCATGCGTTCCCTGTGCATGGAAGTGGCCGTTATGTCCTCCCAATTGCTACCTTACCCACTGTGTGGATGAGAAAGCTGAGACTGGATGGGGGTGAGAAAAAAAAACAAGGACAGAAACATAACTCTCCCAAGACCAACAGCTAATAATGCAGGAATAGGGTCTTGAACCCATGCAATCTGAGTGCTGGGTCATCTGCAGTTTGTACCAGTGGTTGGGGTTCCAAAGCTCTTCCAGGAGAGCAGTGGTCTTTGAGTCTGTCTCCCCTATGTGTGCTCACACTCCTTGAGAATGCAACCATGGCTCCACAATCTAAGGTTTACCTATTGTTGCTGTGACTCTGGAAAGGAGATTTCCTGCAGGATCTTGATATGCAATATTTTTCTCAGTGATCCTCACAGTTATTTATATTTGTCATCAGATTAGCTTTTCTTTGATTTTAGTTCTAGAAAATATGTTCTCCCAGTTCTAGTTGGGCAGTAAAATGAAGGAATAAACGAGTGAGTGGACGACTGTAGAAATTCCTAGACCAGTCATTTCAACAAGCAGCTGTGCTTCCCTTGATGTAACTCCCTTACATGCAGAATCCACGAGACAAGCTGTGAATGTCACTGTACTTTCCAAACAGAATGAAATGTGGGGAGAAAATAGGATTCTAATGAGAAAGGCAAAAAGGTCTCCAGGTCTGTCTTGAGTGATGGATGGGTCTTGAGTGTTTCTCCTTCTATTTTTGCTATGGTATCTCGAACATTATTCCATCCACATTTAATTTCTGAGGTGACCATATTATTCAGAAGCAAAAAGAAACCCTTGGATTGTGGACCAGAGGACAAAACGTGTAAAAGGATTCCCTGCTGCTGCTCACCTGGGAAATATATGAGAGAGTGACCTCATCCTCCATCAACCCTCTCAATTCCTTGAGTGCTTTTCTTTTCTTTTTTTTTTTTTTTAGGAAGAAGGCAAACTTAGAAATTCATCAGCCCTCCTAATTTGGTAGTTCAGACTTAATTCTTTTTTTTTTTTTAATTTTTTTATTGCATTTTGGGTTTTGGGGTACATGAGCAGAACATGCAAGACAGTTGCGTAGGTACACACATGGCAGACCCAGACTTAATTCTTATGCTAAACGCATTTCATGGCTACCGCAGTCTCAGGTGAATTCTGTGTTTTTCTGACATAGTTTGTGGCCACATCACCTGCTTCTAATTCATTTTGCAGAGGACTCAGCACAGATGTCTTCAGGGACTTAGGGTTCCTTGATTCTGTCTACAAAACCATGACACTCAACAAAAGAAAATTTGGGCTGGTGACCTTCTCTGCCACCTGCCAGCTCCCACCCCTGCAAGCTGTCTGACTCCTGTGCCTGCAGAGGAAATGCAGACAGACAGTGCAGAGGTGGCAGACTTCTCCCCTTCACATCCGGTGAGGAAGTGAAGAGTAACTTTGAACAAGCCTGTCTGGGGTGGCTGCTTTTAGGAGTCAAGTGGGCATGCAACAGACGACTTACAGATTCTCCTGAAATGTCAGGACTGCATGTTTTTGGTGCTCCATATAAAAGAACGCCTCAGAAAACCTTCGGACCTGCAGAATAAAACAACGTCAACAGTTCCATTTTTTAGGTAGGTATTACCTGCACTTCCTCTTTTTTAATTGAGGTCAAAGAGATGAATGGCATTTACCAATAGGAGGAGAGCCGTGCCCATGACCTGAGGTTCTGAAACAGTCTTGATATGCCTCCAAGCTGATCTCTCTCATTCATATCTCTTAGCCCACACTTGGTTTACAAACAGAGGTTAATGCAGTCTATGAAACTGTTCTTACGTTGCTTTTGTTATTATTTTTAACTTGAGGTCTTATTTATTCTACTAGAATATAAAACCTCTGTGAACAGGGTCCATACATAAATACAGATGAAACAGAATTCCCAAAGCCCACCATGTATGTTCTCTCAACATTTTGTGTACTCCGATCTTCATATGTTTTCTCATCTTGTTCTAACAAGATGCTGGTCTAAACAGCAACATATTTAATTACTCATTAGCACCCACCTATGTGCACCTAAGCTGGTGGCAGAGAGATACACAGAGAGCAATGTTTTATGTTAGAAAGCACTGTTTCCAAACTCTTTTCTAAGCACTTATAATATTCCTTGTAACAGGCTCTGGCATCCTCTGAGATTCCCATGGCAGGACTTCTATGAATGACACGGCAAAGGCCTGAGAGGCTAGGTAAGTTCTCAGTGCCACCCGGCATGTTCATGGTGGAGGCAGGAAAGCAATCCCAGTGCTTGATCTAATTCTCATAAAGTTTCCACCAAAGAAATCAAATGCATGTGACTGGAGAATGTACACCAGCCAGTGACTCACCCTTAGTGTGTGGTGCTCCTGGGTGAGATAAGTGGTCACTTGGGATTGCAGAGTGACTGTGTCCAGGAACTGGGTCCATAGAGCCATCATGTGGGAGGTGAGCCAGGCCAGATCCTTGCTTATCTGCTCGGCAATCTTCTCTGGATTGTTCAACATCTGGAGAAGCAAAAAAGAAACCCTTGGGTTGTGAAAATCTTCGGACCATGGCTCCCAACCATGAAGGCATTGTAGTCTTCCTCCTGAAGCCTTTACTGACTTTTCTGTTTTCAATAAATCACTCTCCTCTCTCTGCACATCTGTAGCATTAGATTACACCTCATAGTACCACAGGATCATGTTATCACGTTTGATCTGGAAGCTAAAACAGCAAAGGCAACAATAAATTATTTGGGTAGTTCCTCGCTGTCTACAGAAAACCATCCAAAGCCCTTAGCAGGCAAGATTGCCCGCTACCAAATCCCAGCGTATCTCTTCCATTTCGTTTTACTTTCATGTATCCTCTAAATACAGCTGACTCTTAGGGCTCCATAAAGATCTTGCACCTTCAATAGTTTTTTTCTCTCTTTGTTGACTCTGGATAAACCTTTCAACTTGTCTATCCAAGCCTCCTAATCCCATCACCACAAAACTCAATTCTCCCTACCTTTCAATGCCCAGAGCCAAGAAGACTTTATGACATCTTCGCAGTTGCCACCAGCTGGAAACCTACTACTCACATTCTCCCCAAACTCTTCAAGGTACCCCAGATCCATATACTGGACTCTACTCTGTATCCCATCACATTCTGGACATAGTACTTCACAGCAGTTATAACTTCCAATCATTACTCTCTCCTGTTTGGAAAGCAGAACACCAGGCATTTTACGGTGCTCCCCATCTAATCCCTCCAGCCACCCCCTGGTAGAGTTACTGTGACCATCCAATTACGGGAAGTGAAACAAGGGTTAGTAAAAGAATGCCCAGCTTTACACAGAGCAGGGATCCAGTTGGAGGCATGTATGACTATGAAGCCACATCACCATGCCACCTTCACATGGTAAGTGTTTAAAACACCTCCTGAGGGAAGAGAGCACCTCTACAACCTCACAGCACGTGACGAGTGAGGCAGTTTGTGCATGGTAGATGCTCCATAGCTTTTCTCCACCATCCTCCTCACATTACTCCACATTTTTTTTTCTTTTAGGGACAGGGTCTCGTTCTGTGACCCAGGCTGGAGTGTAGTGGTATGATCATGGCTCACTGCAGCCTTGAATTCCTGGGCTGCAGCAATCCTCCTGTCTTAGCTTCTGGAGTAGCTAGGACTACAGGTACATGCCACTGCACCCAAACAACTTTTGTAGAGATGTGGTCTCTCTCTGTTTCCCAGGCTGGTCTCGAACTCCTGGGCTCAGGTGATCCACCTGCCTCAGAGGGTTGGGATTACAGGCATAAGCCCCCACACCTGGCTTCACTACACACTTCTTAAGGAGGATTCCTGGTTGCATTAACTAAAACTAAGAGGAATTAGACTAGATAGGGCCTAGAGGCTTTGGGAGAGACCCTTTTCAGAGAGCTGCAGTTTCGAACCAAGAGAGCCATCTTTTGGGGGAGCAACTTGAATTCTGTAGGGGTGAGAAGAGAGTTCACATCTCTGAGGATGGCAAGGAGCCAGTTGCCAAGGACTGTCACTGACCTCTAAGCTTCACCACTTACTGAAGCACTTGATGAGCAACTTCCATGTCCCAGGCACATGTTTAGGAGAGAGAACTCAGAGTTGAACAAGAGAGGGTCTCTGTCTGTGGGGAGCCTTGTTCAGTGGTGGAAATAGGAATAGACTTAATAATTAAAAGTTCTGCGGCACTCTCTACCATGCACAATAGACCGGGGACACACAGCCACAGCCACATCTAATTCCGTCCTTTCCCTTCGCTGCCCCGTGCCTCAGTTTCTCCATCTGTAAAGTGAGTATGCAAAGAAAATTACTGATTTTGGATGTAATAACATATGAGGAGATCCAAGTCCAAATAGCTTGCAATGCTGGATATTTCTTCTGCTATTCTCACACTGAAAACTGGTGCTAGATGGAGACCGATTGGGTAAAGTGGGGCATCCAAGGGTAAGAAACAGAGGGAAGGAGGAGCTTGGTGCACAGTAAGGTTCTCTAAGTGTTGCAGGTTTTTGCTTCATCATGAATGACTTATTCCAGATACAGAACAATGTTCAGCCACAGCATCATCTCTGAGCTACTTCTTCAAAGGTAAGGTAAGTCTGTGATGACGACACAAACCACAAAACTCCAAAATGAGGGAATGGCCTGCATTTTCTTCTGATGGAAGCTTTCCTTCCAGTACTGGCTCTGGGGCAGGCAAGTGTCAAATAAGGAGTGTCCACTGTTGGCTGATTCCCGTCTATCACAGAGAGTGGGGGTCTAAAGCGTTAAGAAGAGTAAAAGTCAGATGGGGGATATGGGAGGCACGGTCAGTCATTAGAAAACCTCCTGGCTAGAGAGTGAGGCCTTTGGATGAACTGTAAGTGACTTCTATATAGATTCTTGAACCAGTGCCTCTCACTAATAAGAACCAACCTCCTGCATCAGCACGTGGCACTACTGCCCCTGAAAGCATCTCCCACCTCACCTCTGCATACCTCCCGGCCTGGCCCAATGCACGCCCATTCCCAGCCACAGGAACGTGCCTGCAGCAGGCTGCACATACACCTGGCTCTCTCCAACCCCAGGCCCTTGTTCAGGCTGCACCGTCTCCCTGCAGCACCTTCTCCTGTCACCTTCCAGTTTCCCTTCTTCTCTTCATCACGTTGGACTTGTCCATCCTCTACCAGGTAACCATTTAAGAAGCCGATTTTGTGTCTCCTTGTTTCTTTTTTATTCTTTTTTAAAATTGTACTTTAAGTTCTGGGGTATATATGCAGAACATGCAGGTTTGTTACATAGGTATACACATGCCATGGTGGTTGGCTGCATCCATCACCCCGCCATCTACATTAGGAATTTCTCCTAATGCTATCCCTCCCCAATCCCCCTGCTCCCTGCTATTCCTCCCCTATCCCCCTGCCCCTTGCAATCCCTCCCCCATCCCCCCACCTGCTGCTATCCCTCCACCCCCCATAGGCCCCGGTGTGTGATGTTCCCCTTCCTATGTACATGTGTTCTCATTATTCAACTCCCACTTATAAGTGAGAAGATGCAGTGTTTGGTTTATTCCTTTTTAAAAAATAATTTCAACTTTTATTTTAGATGCATAGAGTCCATGTGCAGTCCATATTGCTTCTGATGACTCCTGAAACTTCTCCAATGCTCTGCGTGTAAGTCTAAGATCCTCCTCCTTGACGTGTGCCTGACGCGCACAGGCGTCTCTCAGGGCATGTGTACCCACACACTGCTCGCTTCACTTCCTACATCCCTGTTCACCTACATTTTCAGCTTTACCTTCTCAGTACTCCCAGCCCCTAGCACAATGGCTGACAGAGAGTGGGGGTCAGTGACTCTTTCAAAATGAACAGGCAGCTCGATGTCAGTGGGAGGTATCCCAGGCCTCTGGAACTCAGACTGCCTTTCCTGGGGTTCCTTGTTCCCTTCCTCCCAGTACCATCATCCCCCCCACACTGCCCCCAGCCACCACAGTGGCACCAGCAAGAACAGCATGAATCCAGAGCTCAGCCACCAGAGTGAAAAAGAGAAAAAAGAAAAGCTATTCATTAAGTGTGTCTTTGGGAGGATTATGTTTCCTCAAGTTGATTATAGAAATGGCTTTAGATAAGGTTAAAGAAGCCTCTAATTAAGCCACAAGAGGACTTTTCTGCTCCACAGATGCCCCGGTCTGTGCGGTCACAGATGGCGGGCTTGGAAGGCTTTCTTCCAGAGACCGAGGAGGCCCTTTACTCTAACAAGGAGGCAACTGCAGCCCAGAGCTGTCACAGCTGAAATGCCCTGGACAAAGGCCCTGAAATCCATGCCTGCCACACTTTCGTCCTCGTCACCTGGGCACTAACCAAGTATCTTTCTTCACTCCCTCACTCCCCTGCTCTGCTCACTGAGGGCCGGTTCCATCCTGGGGTGTGCCAAGCTCTGGGAAGCCAAACATAAATGCATACAGACCTGGAAGAGGCATATGATCGTGTTATAGCTATTTAATTAGATAATTATAATATATCTGTAAAGTACTGTGAAAGAGATACATACTGAGTACTGTAGAAGGGTCATGGAAGGCTTCCTGGAGGAGGTGATACCTACATTAGATCTTCAAGGTGAACAGACATTAAGTCAAGAGAAGCCTGCTTTACATTCCATGAAAAAACTGACTGCATTCTCTCACTGGTCCTCAATTACGGTTGCCCACCAGAATCACTGGGAGGCTGTAAGTCCACCAATGTTAGGGCCCGTCTCAGCTTTCCTGAGGGTGTGGCCCAAACATGAAACATTTGCACATTTCTCCTAGGTGACTTTAATGGGCAGCCAGGGTTGTAAACCCCTGCCTTTGTGCACGTCCTCATCTTTATCCAGAATCTATCCCCAACACCTTGTGTGATACATACACTACACCTGCGGTGTATTCTGTTTCAGATCTCAGATCAGCGCCCTCCATCCCGGCACCCTCTCCTACATATACAAGAGGGGGCCTAAGAACAACAGTGGTAACACTGCCCACTGACAGTTACAAGGCACTGTGAGCCAAGAGCTTGATAGACATTTTAATTTACTTAATGACTTAATCCTTACAGTAATCCCACTCATAAATCTGATATTAACACTCTTATCTTATGGATGGAGTCACTCAGGCACTGGAAGGTGAAGCGACATGCCCAAGATTACAGACAGTAAGTGGGAGGCAATGTCTGGACCCAGGAAACCCGGCTCCAAAGCCCTGTTTAGTTCCCATGCAATGCAGCCTCTCATTAACCCCTCTAAATGCTGTGTAGGCCCGCATGGTGGCCCCTGTCCTGCTGCGTGTATTACAACAGCATGCTCACAGGTCTGCTCAACTCACTTCCATATATATTTACAGATGACGGGAGGAATCTCCCGAAAACTTTGCATTTATCAAACTCTTTAAACTCAGAGAATATACATGGAGACTTCTGGCATGGGACTCACTTGATACTCCCTTCATTGAGAATTTATTTTTCCTTCAGATGTTCAAGGATTCTTATAACCACAACAT